AGAAGGGAGGGTTGCACATGCAAAAATCATAGATTATCTCAGATTCTTCTTTAAGAGCATCCATCAGGAGGGTCTTCTGGGGTACTTTAACCACTAGGAGAAAAGTATTAGTGCTATGGGGTTTAAAAATATGTCCACAAATTCTGACACGCCTCCATTCAATAGGTAAAAGTTTCATTTCCTGCTCCTTGAGTACAGGCTCTTACATCACACAGAATCTGATGGAAATGACAGGATGTCACTTTCGAGGCTAAGTCACAGAAAGCATCGTGGCCTCCTCCTTACTTGATCTCTTGCTCTAGGGGAAGTCAGCTGATACACTGGTGACACATGGAGAGATCTATGTGGCTATGGACTAAGGCTTCCTATTAATAATAGTCATGTAAGCGAGCCATTTCAGAAACAAGTCTCTAACCTCAGTCAAGCCTTCATATAACTGCAGCTCTAGCTGACCTCTGACTGCAACCTCCTGAGACTGAATTTGAACCAGCAAGCTAAGCCATCCATAGCCCAATTCCTGGCCCATGGAAATGATGAGAAAATAACTGCTTCAGGATGCTAAAGTATGTATTTATTGTACAGCAATGGATAATTAAAATAAATGCATTAACAAGATTAATATCGCTTGTCTCAATGATATGTTTAACACTAAAAGAAGCCTTAGAAGAAACAACAACAACAACAACAAACTTTAAGAACAGCTATACATGTAATATGCACAAAAAAGTTACTGATCACTAATGGGATTTGGCTGCTTCTACAATTTCTGGTGTGGTAGCACAGAATAAACGCTGTACAGATAACCACTAGGCCAGCAGTTCAAACCCACCAGTTGCTCCTTGGGAACCCTCTACAAAGTCGCTGTGAGTGAAAACCAACTCACTTAACAACAACAACCACAATTTCTGGTATGGTGCTGTAGGATAAGCACTGAACCACTAACTGCAAAGTCAGATTCAAACCCACAAGCCAGTCCTGTTGCTGTTGTGATGTGCTGTCGAATTGGTTTCAACCCATAATGACCCTGTATATAGGATTTCCAAGGAGCAGCTCTAGGCATAGAGCTATATAGAGTTGCTATGATTCTGAACCGACTCAACAGCATTTTACAACAACAACCACAATTCCATGTGCTGAAGAAAAAAAAGACAGCATAGTTTAATCAGCAGTAGGCTTTCTTCCTTTTAATATTTTGACCATGTTACTTTATATATTTACTATATTTTTAAGTTAATTCAGGTACCAAAACAGCAATCCCCATTATAATGTAACAGGTTTTAAAAATTACCAAAGTTGTATAGTAAAGTAAAAGATAATTAAAATAATGAAGTGAGTTAAATTATAAAGACAAGTTAATAAAGACAATTTGAAAAGGATATCTATTCTGTGGAGCTAACCTTTTATGAGGTCAGATAAATTATTCTGTTCCACATTTTTCTTTGCATAGTTGAAGCACATATCATCCACTTCCGTTGCAAGGAAATACCAGCCATTTAAGGTTGC